AATCAGAGCGTGCATGAATGTGTACAGAAAATTAAATGACCTGCAAACTGGACACTGGACCAGTCCATATTACGTTTTATCAATGAATAGATTTTTTTTTATTTCCCAAATTACAGGGCCCATAAAGGGCATAAAATCAGATACAATTGATTTACATAATTGGTAACAACAACAATATAATAGCGGCATAAAAATAGATATTTAGTATATAAGCATTGGTCAGAATCAGATGAACGAAACTTAAGGTATGAAAGGTAACAATTGCCACTTTTTATCTTTTCACATAATTTTCCACATACACATTAGATAAATTATTTTTGATAGCCTATTGCGGAGAAAAAAGAGAAAGTTTACTGTATTAACGTTCTATTCCATTAAATACGCCATTTTTCGAAGATAAATGCAGAAAAACATTTATGAACGGCTACGCCAGGTAAAATTGTTGTTTATCCTAAAAAAAAATACAATTTTCAGTTTCATTAGAATATTATAATAATAATAAATCCCAAATTTATGTAGTCATTAGATAAAGTCCTTATATGTCCGATCTGCCTATTTTTGGACATCAAAAGACAATACGATCGTTTTAAGGTCAATTTCGTCTACCTCACACAATCTTGTTAGGCACTATAATGAAATGGACCTGAAATTTATTTCACATGTTTCCTGAAAATTGATAAATATCAAAGCAACATAGAGCTGTTTGTTCTAGTTCGTATAATGACAATTTAATGTCATGTTTGTTTGTGATGACCCCCCTTTTCGGGATTGCATCAGAATTATAGTTATCTCGTATCGCATGAGGATGACACATGTCAACTGAGCAATTATGTTTGGGACTTAGTTTTAAGAAATGATGTCAAAGTAACATTATGAAAATATTTTTAGTAAGCTGAAATATATATTTATTTTTTACATGTTTATGTCTTGTAAGATATTTTAATTCTGTCCCGTTTTTCAACATTTGCGTCTGGAAAGTTGAAATGTTTTAACTGAATGGTTAATTTAAATTAATTATGAAAATGGTTAAAATTAAATCAATAAAGGAAATTATTGCCCAGTTACAAACACTACCAGGGGATAATCCATAATGATTTTTTTTTCAGTTATATGTTTCAGCACATGTATAATTAACCCCAACTTTAGCCTGGTAAACTTGTTGTCTCCTTGTAAAATATAAAACATATTTAAAATGATTTCCTGCTAAAGTCTTATATTGATATAAAGTTAAAACCGTCTTGCTTCTCACTAGTCAACACTCCTGTCCTGTCAGGTTTAATTCTTATATATATGGATGAAAAATAAAAGTCCACAAAACATTAACATGGCAGCAATTGCTTTTACAGCCTTGAAGACTTTGATTTTTTTTTACAGAAGAGTGTCCACCATGCACTTGCATTACACTATAATAATAGTAGAATAGTATGATATACAAATAGATGAAAATTATATATACATGCAACCGTAATATTAATATAATATATAACAACAAACCAGTGTATTCTCTGGAACTATTATTATATTAGTATAATAGTCTAACTTAAAGGTATACTGATTTGTATCACTACAATATAATAGTTATTACGGTGAGGTTGAATTTCCTGTCATGTATTCATCATCCAAGCACGAACTTGTATAAGAAAAAAAAATCTCTGTAAATTAACCTCAGTTTCAGGTATAGAGATGTGATCTGTTTCTGTGACATGTGCTTTTGACCATCCACAAGAACCTGCGGTCATCCGATGTTCAGTACTTCAGTACTTTGATTTTAGATGCTATTTCATGATCCTGAAGATAAGCATCTGTCCAAGTTTCATAACAATCCATGAAGGTTTACAAATGTATCATGTCAAAAAAATTCAATCCCAGATTGTCTGTAAATGTAAACTGTAAAAAACTAAGTCCATCTTTCAGAAAAATAGTGAAATGAAAAAAAATATATTTTCAAAAGTTTGCTTCAGACCTTATCTCTTAATCAGGAAAAAGCTTCTACCAAAGTTTTATAAAATTGTATGAAATGTTGCCAAAGTAATTGATGTGTAAAAAAATTTAACCCCAGACTGTAACTACTTGTTACATTTTGTAACTGTAAAAAGAACTAAGTCCGTTTATCAGTAAAATACGTAAAATGAAAAGAAATATTTAATTAATGAAGATTTATACAATTGTTTTGTTTTTTTGCCCACTGTATCTTGAAAACTAAAATCTATAGATGAAACTTTAAAAAGCAATTAAAAAAATAGATTTACAATTATTTCGTAGAAAGAAAAATTTCAATACATGAAATGAGTTTAATTTTGACGAGTTAACTCTAGTAAAAATATGACAGCACAAATTATTTTAGAAGCCTGTTTTTATACGCCCGTCAAAATTTTGACGGGAAGTATTATGATATACAAATGTCCGGCGTCTGTCTGTCTGTCTGTCCGTCTGTCCGGCGTCCACATGTCGCACCGTAACTTGAGAACGACTTATCCAAATTTCATGAAACTTAACATAGTTGTTTCATATGATGGTCAAACGATCTGTATGCTTTTTGGTGAAAATAAGATTAAAATTTTTTGAGTTACGGGACTTTGTAACTAAAACAGGGGGTGTTTTTTTCACATGTCGCGCCGTATCTCAAAAACGATTTATGATTATTGCTTAAAACTTTACACACTTCTTAATTATATTAATCTAAAGATCTGTATACTTTTTGGTGATGATTCAAAATTTTATTTTAGAGTTATTGATTTTTTTTATAAAAAAAGGGGGGTTTTCACATGTCGCGCCGTATCTCAGAAACGATTTATGATTATTGCATAAAACCTCGCACACAAGACGACGGGCGTATCATGCGCTCGTGGCGCAGCTGTTTATTATAATTAGATTTCTTTGTATTATCCCCTTGGTTATATAAAAATCAATGTTATGGTGACTGTAATTTGTTAGCTATCTACACCTTGTTAGATTATTGCTCTTTTTTAAAAAAAATACACTTTAAAACTACATGGATATACAGATTGATATTTAAATATTTTCAGAAATTGAAAATTTTGACATTTTTCAAGAGAATCATAGACAAAAATCACAATAAGTTTTTTGGTCTAAACATTCTCTTATTACACCTTGGTATGCTTTGTTTTATATTTTACTTTATGAAAAGAAAAGAAATATCGAAACACTATTGATGTATCAAGAGCAGAATGCTTAATTTGAAGAAAAAATATATACTTTTTAAAGATTTTAGAAAATGCATTTTTTTACTGAATTATCTCCCTTTGTACAATACAAAATCAATATTTATGGCACCATTTATTGTAATTGTATTATCTTCATTGTTAGTTTAACTTACATTATTAAGTATAATAATGCTTTTAAAAAAGTAAAATTTATATATATACATTTCCAAAATTATCTACAGATTGATATTTAAAATTCATTGATTCTATAAGAGAAATTGTAAATCTGGACATTATTCAAGAAGAATTCTAGAAAAAAAACAAGAGCCCACCAATCGTATATGCTAAAATGCGTTATTAACTCTGTCACTTAAAATAACCAAATAGAGATATGTTTAATTTTATATTTTTTTATTGGACAGAGAGCTGGTAAGTTTAAAAAAATGTGATTTTAAGATTTTTAAAAATGCATTTTACTCGATTATCTCCCTTTGTACCATAGAAATTCAATATTTGTGGCATCATGAATTGTAATTGAACTATGGTCATCGTTATTTTGACTTATTTTGTTAAATGTTATAGTGCTTTTGAAAAAGAAACAAATAAATTTCCAATATTATCTACAGAATACTATTTTAAATTCATTGATTTGTTGAGAGAAAATGTAAATTTAGGCAATTTTCGAGTAGAATTCTGGAATGTACTACAATGAGACCCCAGCAAGTTTACTAGCTAAAACGCATAATTAAGTATTCCAATTAATAAAACATAGGGAGTTATCTTTATATTTCTAATGGACCAAAGGCTAGATAATTTTAAGAATATGTACTTTTTATGATTTTCTGAAAATACTTTTTTTAATGGATTATCTCCCTTGGAATAATCCACAAACTGTTTCTTGTAAATTCAAGTACTGATGAGTTACTAAAGCTTCAAAACCTGATTATTCAACAAATCATCATTCTTTATCTCGTTGTTTTCTGCATTCATAAGTTTCAGTGTGTTGAAATTTGTCGTTTTTATAGAAAAATACTGCCTCCAACATGGGGAAACTGGTTCCCGGTACATTACAGCATCTCCTAACTGAAAGGCATGGGAACCAGCTGAAATATTTGTTTCTTGGACTTCTTTCATAATGTTGTTTAAGCACACAAAGTTTCAATTAAATCTGATGACCCCCCCTGTGGACTGTTTTGCATGATTTTATGGGAGACTGGGTGTTAGAATGTTTACTGTCCAGTACTATTTGGCTTCCTAAACCGTTTGTTCAGAGCAAAGCTCAAGTAGGTTATTCCAGAGTATGGGCTAAAAAGGATTAATTCATTCCGTACGAGCCCCACAACGAATCTACAAATTTCCTACAGGTATTACACTATCCTTGATTCGTTAACTAATACTATATGTTTAACTTACTATGATATCAACTTGAGTAACCAGAACAGCTAAATAATCAGAGGTGATCAACTTTGCTTCAATTTAAATCATGTTAAGACTATACAACAGTGGGTACTGGGCGGATTCTGCCATCGGAGATAAACAGTCTACCAACGCACAGACCAAGTGTAATATGAGGGTCTGAATGAGGTTTTCAGAATAGAGAATAAGGAGCAAAAACCACAAAACAAAGGGCGAACAAATAAAGAATAGACAAAAATAGGCCAAAAAATAAAGAAAAGAGAATAATGGGGTGCTAAAATATAAAGAATAGAGAATAACAGGCAAATAAAATAACGAATAGAGAAAAATGGTCTGAAAAATTTAAGAATACAGAAAAAAGGAACCCCATCCAGACCCTTTAATATGCTCTTTTGTAATAAAATTGTTTTTTTTCTTTAGCTCAGGTGGAGTGGATAGTAGAGAATGGAGGAGTTGCAGCTTATGGACAAATGTTGACACTTCTTTGTAAAGTGACTAACTGTTGTATTCAAGATTCTGGATGGGTACAATGGAATTATGATAGTATAGACTTTAGAACCCTTATAATAGATGTTACAGATTTCCGGAATGAGAAATACTCAGGAAAGAAGAGACACGATGGCTTCACCCTGGTCATTTCAGATCTTAACGAGACGGACCTGAATCGAAACTATTCATGTACATATGGAGCTGAGGTTGGTGCAATGAAACTATTGCTTAAAGAAGAAGCTTTCAACCGCAGTAAGTATGCAGAAGGTATAAATAACATAAAAAAAAATATTACATATAATCATTTGTAGAAAACTAAGTTAAGTAATCTAGGATGTTATCACTTTTTTAAAGAAATAAAGAATCAATATTTAAATTGTTTCATTAATTGCTAATGGGTCCTAAGTAAATATGATTTGAAATCTTGATCATAATAACGACAGCAAAGATTTTTTTCTTGATGGTTTTTATATTTCCTCTTTGCCTTTTTCAATTTTTCTTTTTGTAAATATTGGTGTCTTTGACATACAAAATTAAAACCTTGCATGACAATGAAATAAATTACATGTACATTGTTTATTTTATAAATTGTTACATATTCAAATATATAAGGAATACAAATTTAGAATCTAATACGAAGATCCTGAGAATTTGATGTGTTGGTGACAATTTATCAACCGTTAGTTTAGACTAGTTGTCTTTTCTGTAATTCCTAATAATATGTAAGTTGCATCTTTTAGGTTGGTTCAGTATTTATAAACTTAAAGGTCTCTAAGAATCTGTATTGCTTCCGTCTTATAAAGTAGGCTAATCTATCGCATTGAAAATTATAACAGGATTTTTTTTTATATTATTAAATGATATGAGCAAATCAGCCCTAATATAGATAAATCAGCATGTGCAGTACTAATGACGTTGCCCTATCGATATAAATCAAGAGTTAATATTGCTTTTCGGACAGGGCCAATACGGGAAAAAAGCCGTATTTGCCCATGGGCTAATACGGGACGTTCACTTCCTGTTTCAATTTTCTTACGCCTTATTTAACTTTGGACGTATCGTTATGTATAAAAAACATTTGTATTATATTTTTTTTTAACTTAAAATCATAAAATAAAAAGTTTTAAAAAACAAATGATGTTCTGTGTTTTGTAACGTCTTGGCGTCTTGAAACGGAAATATTTCACAGCCTTTTCAAGTACGACTTCCGATTGACACTGTTTCATTTCCGTTGGTCAATCATCAGAATGCAGATAATTCAAGAGTAAGAATAGAAACTGTCTGATTTATTCTTCCCAGCTACTTTATATTTGCTAGATAAAATGAATTGTAATAGCATAATATTAAGTACTTGGACGAGAAATCAGAAATTACATCTGACAATGTTGACAAAAAATCCATAGACGTGAATTCGAAAAGACAAGTTCAGATATGAAATTCTGTATCTTCTTCACGGTAAGTTTCTAAGTTTATTCTAATTAAAAGAATTAAAATCATTTAATAAAAGTGTTATGAACTGGCTGTTTCGGTATTGGCCCTGTTATAGATCCTCGGTCAGCTGTATTGGCCCTCGACTCTTCGAGTCTCGGGTCCAATACAGCTAACCTCGAATCTATAACAGGGCCAATACAGAAACAGCCAGTTAATAACACTAAAATAATAAATGTTATAATCCTTATTGAACTGTTGGGTCTCCATCCCATTGAAACTTACATATAATCTGTCCAAAACAGTTAACTTCAAAATTGGCTGTCATTGTATATTTCTTTGATTGGTCATTTGTAGCAGTTGATGTTCATTTCAAAGCACGGTCATCTATGATGAATTTGCTGTAATCATTTCATTCAAAACTTGTCAAAATTTGGTTTGGTTTCCCCTTTTTATTCGTGTAAAAATATAAAAAAAACTAGTAGGAAAGGGGCGAAAGGCGATTGGTGATAAAAAAAATCCCCAAAACTAAAGTACAAACATCACATTGACCAAAACAAATGAAAGGATAGAAAAACAACAGTGTACAAGATACTGCACAGAAAAATATACATTCAAAAATTTGATTAACATAAACCCGACAAAAATTAAGATGAACTAATATCTCCGAAATTCTAAGTTGTTCCATCTCTACTAGTGGTATCCTCATGGTTGACATGACAACTAAATTCCTATGATTAATTGTGTTCGATGTTAAGTCATTAAATGGGAAAAGAGGAAGGCGATTTTTGTCTGTGACAAATGATACATATCGGTGGTCATCAATGGCACAGATAATATGTAACGATCAACTGCCATGATGATGTTCGTAGAATTTTCTGACAGATATTTTAAATTTTACAATTGAGCAACTTTGGTTCAATGTGTATGCACCAGCCTTTGCCAATGAAATACTGTCAGTTTCTTCATTTCGACCGTAGAATTTATTCAAATTTCGAGATCTATAAGCATGAAAGGTTCATAAGTTATGGAGGCTACGAATGCCATAAATAACTAAAATTCTGTTGTTCCAAATGATAAAGCGTCAAAAGCATCGTTTTTTTATGCAAATATAAAGTAATAAAATTATGATCATACTTAGTTATCAATTTAAAACCCATTTTTTTGGAGCGACTTATATCTAATTTAATTGCCTGTTCAATAGCCATAATTCCAAGATGTACGATGCAGAATATTCCATAAAGCCAAAAAATGTGTTATTACTGCGTATGACCTCAATTCGTGAACAGTTTTAAACAATTTCATAGCCCAAAACCAGGTTATCGTGCTACTTCACGGAAACCCTTTGATATATTTGTTTATTTTCTTTGCAGTCTACTTACAGACAATATACTTGTTAACTTACTGGTCAATGCTGGATTTTATTATTATAAAGCGAAAAATGTATATTTAAGAACTAGAGGCTCTCAAGAGCCTGTGTCGCTCACCTGTATTTACTGATGCTTTGGAAATCATGTAATACAAGGTTAAAATCATAATTAATAGTTTTAGATATTAGATATTATAATGATATCTAAGATAAAAACAAAAAACTGCAAAATTTTTGTAAAATTACTAACTCAGGGGCAGCAACCCAACAACGGGTTTGTCCGATTCGTCTGAAAATTTCAGGGCAGATAAATCTAAATCTGATGAACAATTTTTGCCACCTGTCAGATTTGCTCTAAATGCTTTAGTTTCAGAGATATAAATCAAAAACTGCATTTTACCCCTATGTTCTATTTTTAACCAAGTCGGCCATGATGGTTGGAAGGCAGGGTCATCGGACAAATTTTTTTAAACTAGATACCCTAATAATGATTATGGCCAAGTATGGTTAAATTTGTCTCAGTAATTTCAGAGAAGAAGATTTTTGTAAAAGATTACAAAAATTTACGAAAAATTGTTAAAAATTGACTATTAAGGGCAATAACTCCTAAAGGGGTCGACCGACAATTTTGGTCATGACAACTTATTTGTAGATCTTACTTTGCTGAACATTATTACTGTTTACAGTTCATCTCTATCTATAATAATATTCAAGATAATAACCAAAAACTGCAAAATTTCCTTAAAATTACCAATTCAGGGGCAGCAACCCAACGACAGCTTGTCAGATTTGTCTGAAAATTTCAGGGCAGATAGATCTTGACCTGATAATCAGTTTTACCTATGTCAGATTTACTCTAAATGCTTTCGTTTGAGAGATATAAGCCAAAATCTACATTTTTCCCCTATGTACTATTTTTAGCCATGGCGGCCATCTTGGTTGGTTGGCGGGGTCATCGGACACATTTTTTAAACTAGATACCATATTGATGATTGTGGCCAAGTTTGGTTCAATTTGGCCCAGTGGTTTCAGAGGAGAAGATTTTTGTAAAAAGCTAACGACGACGGACGACGTCGCCGACGACGACGACGCCGACGGACGACGACGACGCCGACGGACGACGGACGACGGACGCCAAGTGATGAGAAAAGCTCACTTGGCCCTTCGGGCCAGGTGACCTAAAAACAAAACCAACTCAAATCGTGTTTATGCTATGATGCTAGTGATTGGATTTATATAACGTTGTTTCGGAGATGGCTGTTACGTCTAAGAATCTTACCGTATTTTGGTCAGTATTACGCCTCCTTATATTCAGTGCTTGTACAAGTCAATTCCAAAAAGGATATTTAATGTAATCAAGCTAAAAGGACACCTCACAAAGTATTAACGATAACTTTTTATTTTTGTTGTGTTTCGTTGGTTCGTTCATTCATTGGATGAGTTTGAACTTTGCTAATTCCGTTTTCAAAGGTAAACACGCCGCCATTATGACCGAATTAGGGGGGAGGGGGGGATGGGACCCCCCTTTTGTGGGAAAAATTTTGTTGATTATTTGGGGAATCACTGAAGCATGACTGGAACGGGCCCCTCTTATGGCAGTCAGTGGGTCCCCTCTTATGAAAAATTCTGGATCCGCCACTGTATCCAGTTACAAAACAAATATTACTGTAACCGCTTGAAACAAGACACAATTGAATTGTTACGGTGTAAGAAAAATACATGTCACTTTGTAAAGTAATTAATTGTATCAACTCAGTTTATGAAAGGGGGATGCTATGTGTTTTTCTTCTTTTTTCATGATATTTATATCGCGGAAAAACAGATTATTTTTTTCAAAAGTTTTTAACGAACTATACAGAATCATTGTTTTATCTCTTTTGTCTGGCAATACATTTTTTTAAAACTGAGAATCAGAATTAATTATTATACCCACCCCCAACATAAAGTACGTGGCTATTATTCTATAAAAAATAAAAATATTTGGTCATTTGATAGAGTAAGATGTAAAAAGTTGGGAACTGGCACGAAGAGAGCAAGAAATCGTGATACATGTACAGGTATGTAACACGAAAAACGAATATCCATAGGTAAAAGCTTAAGTGTGCGAATCAATATGATATTCAAAATCCTACACACGATTGTGTTAAATCTGGCTTGTTTTAAAAGTGTTATGAAAATTTTGTATTATTAAATTCATCTCGCATAATGTCCCTTTATTATAGCGATACATTAACAAAACTTCACATTATTTGTTTCCAAAGTTAAAACGACGATTTTTGGTAATTCAGTCTAATAAACGGAGGAAAGGATTGTTTCTGCCTTAAACCTAATATCAAAAATGGAAAATTGAAAAGTAAAACCCAAATTGGCAACAACACACGATAACTATCAAACAAATTAAATGTTTAAGTAAATTATAGTTTGCATTTTAATCAAGAAAAATAATGACCTTACACAGGTCTTTATTTTATGCCTTAAAGCAAATTTCATTGAAACTTGGTATCGTCCGGGTTGATTCTTCAAAAGAATGACCTATCGTTCTGATAGGAAATAACTCCATATAGGTATATAATTCTTTATAATAACTGTAGAATAAATTTTCAAATGAAGATAGGGAAACATCGAGTTTCAATCTTTTGAAAAAAAAGGAAGTACATCTTAACAATTTGGGTGTTTTGATATCATTCAAGACGACCCCATGTACCGGTAAAAAAAATACATCGAAAATTTCTATTTTCATCAGTTTTAGCGTATTCCATGTTGAGATGCTTATAACGTAAGTTAAGCGCACCCGCTTTCCAAAGTTCACTGACAGGGATTGAACTTTAACAAACAGTAACTCTCACGAAGTATTGTGAAAAATTCCCGTCTTGTATTGGCTGATTGTTACAGTGTCTCAATATTTTAAATTACTAACGATATTTTAAAACAGTCACAGGTCCGAAATGACAATGATCGTTCATCAGGTATATTATTTGTTATCATATTGCCCGGTTTGACAATCGATTTGATATCGAAATAATCGATGATGCTTGCATAATAGAAGATGGTAACCCTTGAACTCCGTTTGGAGATCATGGAATTCTGATTATTTTTACTGCAAATTTTTGATTGTTTATACCTAGATTTAAGATAAAATGTATATTGACATCCATTATACTACATCAATATGCATAACCTCATATTCAGCTTTTATTTATTTCAGCTAATAGTTCAGATGAAGCCAAGGAAGGACTAAGTACAGGAGCAATGTAAGTATATCTCAACACCATGAACCGATAAGTAATGTATTTACTTTAGAAAACTATCAACAAGATGTTTACTTTTAACTGCGGAGTTAGGTATATGGTTTTTCTGAGTCAACGGAAATCCATTTTAATAGCGTTCTCCGAAGATAAAATTTGTTGCAAAGAAAAATGTTCAATCATGTAATTTTCATTATTCTATTTACTTTTCAACACTAATACATTAAAAAATGAAAAAAAGAAATAAAGACAAATCGAAAGAAAAAAACCCATGCAAAAGATGGTGCTTCTGATAGTCAGTATAATAAGAAATATAAGTAAATGCATCTTTAGTTTGATATATCCCTACATTCCCTATTTTGTTTTTAAAAATCAACAATATTTGCAAAAATGGGGTTCAGCATATGCTTACCGTTCCGGAGTACCTGAGATCACCCTCGGATTTTTCAGGGTTCCGGTTTCTCAGTCTATAAACAAAACCCATACCATATACAGAGCTGTAAAAGGCACAGACATTAAAAAAATGTACAATTAATTCAAACAAGGAAACAAACTGCCTGACTAATGTTCAAAACCATAAACTAAATCAAATATGATAGACAGCACTTTTACTGGCGCGCAACTCTCCTTTGTCTATTCAGACCATATGTCGTCAAATTTAACACACAATAAAAAACGTTTTAACATTAGAGTAATTTTCCTACCAAATAAATAATATTAACACAGTGTACATTGTATACCATGATGTAGAATAGGTGCGACAGGTTCATGATCAGTGTTGTATGCAAATCTTCTTCGTTTTTCCCTTTAATAATTTCAAATTTGGAAAATGGTCGATTTATCAATGAGCGAAAAACACTTTCGAATCAAATATGTACTGTATTATTGATTAACTTCAGGATATATATCCCTTTCGTAAAACATTCTATATATCTCCTATATGACAAGACAGATATTCCCAAAACAATACTTACTGTTTTTTTCACATGAAATTCCAAACACTGTGGTAGCATTATTTCTGTTCCAACCATGTACATGTAACATCTACTGTCTGCTTGTTTGAAATAACTGTACTTAAACACTAAAAGTCAATAAATTTGAATCAAATATCAGATTAAAATCGCAACAAGCTCCCGCAAATAATCAATATATGGGTAAATAAGTGTATTTTCGAAAAAAAAACCAATTATTAATAACATTCTCTATGATATAAATGTATAGTATTACACGTAAACGTAAAATGCATATTAGCTTGATAGTGTCGGTTCTTTAAAATCTCAATAAAAAAAGGAATAGCGGTAGTTATGCCACTTGGTCCTTGAATTCGTAAATCAATACGTACATGTATACATATTTATCATACAAGTTTCTTCGGATGTTCAAAAGTCTGTTAGAAACACATCCTGTTTTTAAAGTATTTATGAATTTTTTGGCTATCATTTTTTGTGTTTGAGCTTTTCTGATGTAGGTAAATCCAAAAAAGCACCTCGGATGTACCCACATTATAGCATTTTATTTTCATTTTTATATCAGTATTTACAATTTTGAATTTTACCATACATATTTGCTTAAGCGCCTATATATTCTTACTTTTAAAGCAAAACTGCAAAATTGCCAAATTGATCTTATTTTGAGATCTTGGTATTGATATTCAGATAGCAGCTAAAGTCTTACTAAAAAAATATTATTCTATGAGATGTCAGAGATACCATTTTCTTCATCAACAGGGGTGTTCTCCTGACAAAAACTTCTCCAACAGAGTTATGAGGAAGAACGACCGAAATCGACACTACATAAGTTTTACGGTCACCCTAAGAATTTGTTCCGTAAATTTGCAGATTGTGTCTTATTCCTGATATTGACATTTTGACAGCGTGCATGTGGATTCGGATGGCGGGTGATGCATGCATAGTAGAGTACGCTTATACCCTGTCGACGAACCTGGTCACGCTCCTTTTTTGGAGTTCATGCGATTCCCTCATTTTTATTTTACCTTGATTGTATCTTCTTTATATATATATATATATATATATATATATTCTGTTTGGTATTAAATTAATAGGTTAAGATCCATCTTGTTACATCTGGTGATCCGTTTATTTGGCAATCGCCAATGGCGGTCAGCAGGGTTTAAGAACATCCGTTGTTCGACCTGCTAGTCAAATGCGTTTTGTTTAAATATACTTTTTCATTTTTTTCGTCTTTTCGAAAATGTTGTTTGTGCTGTATTTAGACCCCTCTACCAAGAAATTTGTTTTGCATGCACACGTATAAAAACTGCGGTTTTTATGTAACGCAATCATAGGTTTGAACGTTGTTTTCAATTTAGACTTGTTTATATTTTTTCGTTTGGGCTTGTATTATATTTGCCTTCGGGTTTATATGATCCGTTCATCCTATTTCGACTCTTCAAAATTCAAGAGTCTATCCTAAATTGAGGTAAATTATATGGTCTTCCAAATACCATTTCGATTCCTAACATCACTGAAGAGACATTAATTGTCGAAATCCGGATATGGTGTACTAATTTTTGCACCTTTTGTTTGCGGTATACCATCTTTTCCGCAAATTTATTGTTTTCTGTTTGGTATTAAATTAATAGTTAAGATCCATTTTGTTACATCTGGTGATCCGTTTATTTGGAAATCGCCAATGGCAGTCAGCAGGGTTTAAAAACATCCGTTGTTCGACCTGCTAGTCAAATGCGTTTTGTTAAAATATACTTTTTCACTTTTTTGTTTTTTTGGAAAATGTTGTTTGTGCTGTATTTAGACCCCTCTACCAAGAAATTTGTTTTGCATGCACACGTATAAAAATTGCGGTTTTTATCCAACGCAATCATAGGTTTGAAAGTTGTTTTCAATTTAGACTTATATATATATAAGGTGCCTAGAAAATCAACCTAACAATGTTAGAGTAGATCTGATTCTTTACTTCCTCCCCGACTGGGGCTGGAACCTGAACTTTACACTTCATACTTCTACGACAACACCGCCTAGCATTGCGCAGAAGCCTTATCCCCTCCTCTAACTATAGCTGATAAAATCAGCTTTCGTTTCGGGAGGTGTTAGCTTCTCGTATGAATTAAACAAGGACATCTAACGCAATACACAAAGTATTTTTAAGTGTACAGGAATGATCATCTACTCATCTCTTCAGTATAATTACAGGATGCTATTCTGTTTTTAGAAGCATACAATCACTGTAAATTTATATATATGTATGTCTACCTATGTGTAGTGACAACTGTAAATTATACCTTGTCCATTGGATTTCTTATGATTAAGAAATACCAGGCGTTAGAATATTAATAAAGTGCCTAGAAAATCAACCTAACAATGTTAGAGTAGATCTGATTCTTTACTTCCTCCCCGACAGGGACTGGAACCTGTACATATATATATTTATATAAGATTTGAACATCGGTCATTTACAGTAACTGCTTATTTACACTAAGATGTAAATGTGAGTAAAATGTCTTTTGATGTACGATCTTGCCTCAAACTAAATTTTGACAAAATTTATGTGTAAAATAGCAATCTTTGGTCATACATGTCAATTTTAAAATGTTTATGATGTTAAAGTGACATAACAACTGATATGTCTGTATTAATATTTCATAATACTATTTATTTAAGGAGAAAACTAACATAAATTTGAAAGGATAATTGCAATTTCAGGGGGCCAAATAATGGGTCATACCATGCCTTCCTCTTGAATATCTGGGTGATTTTCCATCAAGAATTGCTGTAATTAACATAAGACATATATGCGTGTCGTATGCAAAGTGTTTTCCATCCTCTGCATTAAATGGTAGCCTGATACATGCATGCAGTTAGATGTTATAACAAGTAAATACAACATTTTGAAAGTGAGACTAGAAATTCACCAGGGTTTATTTTATCAAAATGATATGAATAAGAATAGCTTTAAAAGCATACATGTCCACCTTAGATAAACTATGCAAAACAGGTTTATTCTTAATACATTCTGAAACTACAAAGACACGTTGTATGAACGAACCCAAAAGTCGTATAGAAAATAAAAATAATTTTGTTATTTTTTTCAGTGTCGGAATAAGTCTAGCTGTATTTGTAATCATGGTAATAGCAACAATAATTGGATGGGTCTTATTGAGACACAGGAATATATATAAGCAAGCTTGTATGTATTGAGTTATGAATGGGTTGATTTTTTTAATAAAAAGTAATCACTATGCAACTATATGGAAAAAAAGTTACGTCAAATGTTAGACATCTATTTAGTCCGACAATTTAAGAATAAAATAATATTCGCGGAATTTTCGATATATGAAATATTAACACCGAAATAATGACTAAAATAGAATTGGTTAGTCTTGCATTAGATTGGAGATAACTGTTTTGTATTTTAATATAGACTTACGTTTAACCTTGGTTTACTACTGCAAATATCTGTCTACCTAGCTCCACTACGCGTCAAAAGGTAAACTTCATTTAATTGTTACGTATGCCAAGCTTAACGTACAATACAGATTTCCGATTTGACGCATTGACAGGACAAATTTTTTTTCTCGAAATCAATGTAAACACGGAAATTCAGGTCGTAGGATATTTGTTAGGTAACAAATTTTGAAATCAACAATTTTGATAAGGTTTCTGTTCCTAATCAAATATCTAATTAAATTGTGATATATGCATACAAAATTTTTAAAATAACATGTATAGAAAAATTAAGGCATTTTTTTTATTACAGCCACAGAAGAAGTGAAATTAACAGGTAAAAAATTGTGAACCACTTAAGGAAGATCATGAAATAAGAAATTCAACCTAATTTAAACTTAACCGCACAATTTTACATATTATCATCAATACTTCGATGTAATAAACCTTGTATTTTATATTATTCCAAGGATGCAAGTTTGGAGAATAATTTATCAATTTGTTAGAAACAGATATAGATAAACGATCGTGACAAATAGATAGAAATAAAGACCATGAAGGGCATTTATATACATTAAAGAACATTAAATACGGGAAAAAAACAAAGCGATGGCCAAAAATTAACTCCAATGAAAACAGGGAGAGGTTTCGGGTGGTCTGGAACATAACCTGCATATTATACGGCACTTTTTTCAATGCCAATTATCAAGCAAGCAATAACTCAAATTAGGGTAATATACAATCATTTAAAGAACGTGAAATACTTTGGAAAGTTTGTCTGCAATCAAATACCAGTTCGCAAACGATCAATTTCGTGATATAAACCATTAAACTATAATCGTAGTGATGGTATCAGATAAGTCTGAATATAATATAGCCTTGTCTAAGCATTTAATGTAAAAGAATTTTGACTTGAGTTGGTGTCATTTAGGAAGTATATCCTGAAACACGTATTATGCGCATGGAAATTCTGCATATTTTTACAATTGAACTTTTCTGTAGTTATATAACCTTTATACTCCAACTTTTATAAGGCAACGGAGTTTATATTGTTCCTCAGTAAAATGACAATTCACTTCTTGAAACCTACAAAACCGTCATGGTTGTCCCAAGGTTCTGAGTTCAAATGTCCGCAAGTGTGTATAATATGTGGCAGTTTATAAGGTATAAAGTAACACCTATTGTTTTAGTAATGTAAGAAATTTCCAGATCATTAGATAGGATGAGATACAGAAAATAGTTAATTCATTTTTAGTTAAAGAAAATAAATCATCTTTATACCAGAAGATAGAAATAAGGAACTTGACGTACAGCTTTTGTTTTTTCACAACTCTTGATAAAATTTGCTATATACTATTAAGAAATAAATCAGCAATGAAGTGAACGAGTGGTTCAAATGTGAATGTTAATCGTCTGTTGGACAATATGTCTACAAATTTCAAAAATATATTTTGCTAATGAAAATCTCAGCAATTTAAAAAAAAAATTCTTCTGTACACTTAAAGTTTGAATCAACGTGTGATTAGCGGTGTAACTATTTGTCTTCCGTACCTTCCTCATCAATCATTTTCTTTTCTAAACCAATGATGTGTATAAGTGCAATTTTAGTTTGTAAAGTACAATAAATACAAATGTTCGATAGCTACGAATTTTTATATGTTCGAATCCATATTTAATTCATAATACTTGTAGCATTATAATATTAACAGAGTGAGAATGCTTCTTTCTATTGTCTTAAAATTACGCTGTTGGAACACTTTCTGATATATAGATATTGTTTATTAGACTGGTTATTCAAATCAGTTGTATTTGTTCATGAATTACTTAACACATAAAGTTTAAACGACATTTAATGTCAATTATTAGTTGTGCAGCCCAGTCCAGATTTTTCTCTAATCACACAAATAATTGAACATCATATCAAAGGTCCATACGAACATGATGAAATCTTTAATAACAAATTGGATAAATGTTACAAAGTACCAGAAGCCATGAACAACACTAATAGCATTTACTGTATAACTGTTTTTAACGACTGAAAATTGCTATAATTTGACCAAATAGATGAGATATCGGATTACAAGTTACGTACGTTCTTTGAATTAAGAAATTAAGTTTATTTTGAAAGTACAATAATGTATTAATTGATTTTTGTTTATAAAAGTCTCAAAGGTTTATCGTACTAAAGACGTGTCACAAACATACGATTTTATTCTGTAACATAATTTTTCAAAACCTTTCTTAAAAGTGTTTAAATCACCATTTCAATATAAAGATTATGGACTGTTTCCCTATCGATCTAGTTCATCAACGTCATGTTGTATATGTACAATTGTGCGAAACTGAAGAGATTGATTCAAGGAGAAGGTATGACAAGACAGCTTCTTGGCCCTTGGTATTATGCGCATGGAAATTTTATATATTTTTTTAATTGAACTTTCTGTAACCTTCATACTCCAACATTAAGGCAATGTAATTTATATTGTGATTAGTAAAATGACAATTCACTTCTTGAAACCTACAAAATCATCACGTTTGTCCCAATGTTTTGTGTTCAAATGTCCACAAGTGTGTATTGATATGTGGGAGTTTATAAGGTATAAACGATGAAAAACGATGAAAAACTTAATCTATTAAATAATATCCCCTCAGAGGTTTATTCAAAATACATCAGTCTGTCAAATATCAGTATTTATGTTTACTTTTAGGATTCAAAAATCGTGTGTTTAAGCACAACTGCAAAAGATAGTGTAATTTTGAGATCTTGTCCTAAATTTAGATAAGAGCGAAATCATTACTCAAAGAGATATTTTGCTACAAGATGTCTTATACAAATATATTTATGTGGGTCAACACCTTTTTGGGTACGGATTTGGCTTATACCTAGTTTTCAATACAATATGTGTTGAATGGTCCTTTTAGGTCAAATATTTCAAATTCCACATATTTATGGCGACAATATGACACCACAACTGATATTTCTGTGTTAAAGTTTCCAGATTATGTCATCGTAATTCATTTGTCAATAAAACTAACACAAATTTGAAAGGATTGAACAATTTACCAGTTTTGGGAATTTCAAGGGCTGTGGAATGGCGCTTTTCATTCCTCCTCAATCGTCAGTTATGAATTTGTTCTTACTTCAAATACAAAAATTCCGAGCAATCGTGTATGAATCCACGCAGCCTGTTAGTTGTGCAAATCAATACGTTATTTACCCTTTCAAATACCTTATCCATTTGGCTGTTCTGAATGTATAAATATGTAGTCACGTATAATCTGATTAAACTTAAAAATCCAATACATTTCTATTCTTCCTGTTCACAAAATAGCCTTTAACATTTTTTGGTGACTGGCGTTAGTTCAGACGAGCGTAAATTACTTATACACGTTCAATTGGGACAGTTGACTTAATTTAGAGTTAAAGTTATTTGCAACTGAAATCACTGTCGAACACATTACAGGTTTAATTCCCGCGCTGTGAAAAGTGTTTCAATGCTAGGTGACTCATGAAGTTTTGCATTACAAATATTGTTTCCTTTCCATGCTCGTCCATCAAAACAACCTTTTCTCTTATGCACCAATTTGACATTAGTTTGGACATTTAAGTTGGTTACGTATTGTTTTATTTTTTTTACACACCAACATCAACTGTAATCCCTGTTCTTAATAAAATTACGTATTGTTTAAAGGGGCATTAGCTGTCAAATTCATGTTCACCGATTTGACTCAAATTCTTATATTCGACTTATAACATACTAAAACGTATATCCAAATTATAAAAAGTCTAAAATAAACAATTTACGATGCATAGACTCGATAGTATATTTCAGCATTTCGTGTGTATTTTAGTCTAGACGCCGTCTAATTAACTATCTCGGGGGCCTCGGTGGCCGAGTGGTCTAAGTAGTTACTTCTGTAATCACTAGCCAGTCAACACTGATGATGTGAGTTCGAACCCCGCTCGTGCGGGTGCACTCGACTCCAATCTTAATTGACGAGGATTGTCAGTTTTCCTATCGAAGGTCGGTGGTTTTCTCCGGGCACTCCGGCTTCCTCCACCAATAAAAACTGGCCGCCACGAAATAGCCCAAAAGCGGTGCTTAAAAGTGGCGTTAAAACACCAAAAATCAAAATCAAAATTAACTATCGAGGTGAATTCCGAAGACTACCGACGGTCATATAACCCGATATAAACATAAACATAGATATAAATAGATTGCTAACTCGTGCGATTGGATTTTTCTATGTCTGTTTGATTTCATATTATAGGTTAAAAATATGTTAATAATCGTTTTTACCTGTATAAGAATGATTTTTTTTTAGATCGAACCATTCAACCAAATGATTTACCCTTGTTTCACTTTCAATGTTAACATTCTTTTCCATCTAATAACTGAACACGCCTAGTTCATGCGTAACCCATCTCTAGCTGTAGGGATACATTAAAGTTCACATGAATACGGATTCAATGAGGTTGAATTATTCACTTGCAAGTGAATAATTTATTAGCGATGTTTCTTTGCTTAATTTGACAAAACTGAACCAAACTGGCTGTTAAAAGCGAATTATCATTTCACTATTCCACTTTCATTAATGATTGAACAAATAAAAAATCATATTTTATTTTTTTTATATCTCGTAGCTAATGCCCCTTTAATCAATGTAAAACGATGCACGGATGAGTACATGCGATACGCTAACATATATCATTCGGTAATTAGAGAAATGTTCCGATTTAAGTATTCCTTAGTTAATTGAATATTAAAGTAATTTTATGTATGCGACTTAAACATTTTACTTAACTAAGGGAATTCTTAGTGAAATATAAGTTTATGGAACACTTAAGTTAAGATGTTTTATGCATACGGGCTCTGGGGTAATTAAAAATGTAATTGTAACTGCCTACAATTAATTACAAATTTAAAAGTAATTCAATGTAATGTGTAATTGATCATACTTTCAATTACATATAATTTAAAGTAATGAATTACATTGCCTTTTGCTATTGAATTATGACTTACTTTTAAATTATTTTCTTATTATACATTGCTGTGAAATTTTAAAAAAAAAGGTTTCTCTGATGTACTCACATTTAAATTTGTTTTTTCCTTCATTTGGATAGCACTTTGTACTTTGTACTTTGAATTTATTTTTTTATACTTTGTAAATACATATAATGTTTATGCTTAATGTACTTTTTAGAAACTCCAAAAAGAGATGAAAAAATAGACTGGGCAACAGCTAGCGATATGGCAGCATTGGTTGTCAAGGAAATTGTTCCTGGTGCGAGCGTTACTAAGTGTAAAAAATGGGCTGCTAGGTATAGCGTAATGTGCACAATCGTAATAGAAAACTGGACTAAATACATACTAGTAGATCCTGATTCACGCATCAATGGAGGGGAGATACCGAGCCCACCAACAGTGGTGGGGCCTGGAAAAAAAGAAATGTTCGTAAGTAATTATTACTATCAACTTTATACAAGAAGTTTATTTTAAATAAAAATAAATATACAATACACATAGAAAAAAATATAAAACGAAACACTTCCTATTTTATAAGGATAAATAAACGTACAAAAGTGGAAATATTGGTACCAGTTTTTTGTACCTGTCTCCGTAGAAAGTCCTTGATATACAATGTGCTACCAAATTATTTCGGTATTAACCACAGTATAACAATTTGGGGAAATAATGGCAAAAAGTATGAATCAATGTACGATACATGACATCAATTAATACATTAATTTAGATTTAGGAGAGTAATTATACAATTAATCAATATTGTATGTCACCTCATACAATTTGTGTAGGGGACAAAAATATAATTACAATGCATGCAAATTCCAACCAAACTGCCTCACAACTGATCTGTTTCTTACCTCTTGCTAATATTTTTTTTTATTTGTGTTGGGATTTGCTTTCTTTTTGACTGAATTTTCTTTTGCTTTTTATTAATAATTTTGTTCAGCTACTTGTTTTTATTTTTATTAGTACTTGTTTTTAACAGAATTTATGTCAAGTATTTTTACAAGGTTGCTTGCTTTAGTTGTTATGCTTTTAATTTGTGCTTTTATCTATGATTTTAAGTGTGCACATCTGTCTATGCTTTTATGTTTTTTGTTTTTTGTCTCGAATGCAACAAAGTCGCGGTAGCAATATTTAGGCATGCTGTTTTCGGCGTCGTTTGCGTCAGCGGCGTCACTAATTTGTTAAAATTTGTGATTAGGCCCTTCTTTAATTTTAAGTCTCAAGATTTTTCAATCAAACGCAATATCTACACTCGTCGGCCAAAACTGGCAACCCGAGTTGAAGTCAAATGGTAATTATTCTTATTCCGTAAATTGTAACACTGAAACATGAATCTGGTGATGAATACAGTTTTCAACAATTCATATTGAGTTTTAACTTCGCCCCGAATCGATTAAACATTTTGCATTTTCCGTCGCAGTCAGTTTTTACTCCAGGTCAGCGGATGTGGCAAGATGTGTCATACCGTATTTATATTTCAAGAAACATTTGAAGTTTACATTATCTAAATGGTGATCTCTGGATGTCTTGGCCCGGCTAATTTTAAAATTAATTGTTTTCAATGCAAATTTGTAAAATTGTAAAATTGAGAATGGAAATGGGGAATGTGTCAAAGAGACAACAACCCGACCAAAGAGCAGAAAACAGCCCAAGGCCACCAATGGGTCTATAACACAGCGAGAAAATCAGCTGGCCCCTGAACAAAAATGTGTACTAGTTCAATGAAAATGAACGTCACACTAAACTCCAAAACATATAAATGAACTAAAATTAAAAAACATACAAGACTATCAAAGGCCAGAGGCTCCTGACTTGGGACAGGCGCAAAAATGCTGCGGGATTAAACATGTTTTGTGAGATCTCAACCCTCCCCCTATACCTCTAGCCAATGTAGAATAAACAAACACACAGCAATACGCACTGTAAAACTCAGTTTAAAAGAAGTCCGAGTCCGATGTCAGAAAAGGTAACAAAAGAAACTAAGCAAAATGACAATGATACATAAATTAACAAAGGACCACTAGCAGTTACTGACATGCCAGATCCAGACCTCAATTAAACTGATTGAAAGATTATGTCTTCATCATACGAAAATCAAGCACAATCCCTCCCGTTAGGGGTTTAGTATCATACCAGCATAAAATATATGAGAAGAACATAACCCGTATCATGCCAACAACTGGTTTTAGAATAAATGTCTTTATTTCCGATGCAAAGACCCTATGAGTGAATCAATATTAATACCAAAATATGCCATCTTTAATGACCTGACAACAGTATCGTAACTATATCCCTTCTTTATAAGTCTGTTTAAAGGTTTGGTTAGCTTTTGAGGTGTATGTCGACACTTTTGTGCTTTGTATAGAATATTACCATAAAAGATTGGATGTGAAATACCTGAACGTATAAGATGTCTGCATGTTGATTTATATTTACGAATGATGTCCTTGTACCGATGATAAAATTAAGTAAATGTTTTGACTAGTTTGTGATATCGAAAACCCTGGTGTAATAATTTTTCAGTAAATCAGAGGTTTCTTTCGTTAAAATCAAATACGTTGTTACATACACGAGCGAATCGAACAAGTTGAGATATATAGACACCATAAGATGGTGACAAGGGAACGTCACCATCTAAAAATGGATAATTAACAATATGAAATGAAAAATCATCTCTTTTATCATAAATTTTGGTATTAAGCTTCCCGTTAAAGATATAGAAAACAAGTTACAGGAAAGGGCAGTGTTCATTGTTAGTATTAGCTTTATTTAAAGTCAGTTCTGCAGGATAAATCTCTTTAGTGTACATACTGAAGTCGTCATTATTGAGAGCCAATATATCATCCAAATATCTAAAAGTGTTATTAAATTTTTGTATCAGATGTTGTTTCGATGGGTCTTTGCTGATTTTAGTCATAGATTGTAACTCATAACAATACAGAAACAGGTCCGCAATAAGTGGTGCACAGTTAGTCCCCATTGGAATTCCGATAACTTGACGATATACGGAATCTCCATAGCGAACAGAAATGTTATCTAGTAAAAATTCAAAGGCAGTTATCGTATCAAAGCAGGTCCAATTGACATAGTTCTTTTATCTGTTGTTACTAAAAAATGACCTAAAAGAGTTAGAAAATATATATTCGCATTCTGACTTTTTAAATGCCCATTTAATTAGGTGTGTGGTTTTTTTCTTAATAAGATTATGAGGCAAAGTTGTATATAGGGTAGAAAAATCAAAACTTTGAACAGATTCGAAATCACCAATATAAGCATGCAATTTATCAAGTACTTCCAACGAGTTTTTAACACTCTAAAAGTAATTAATTACACTATTTTCAAAGGCCTTATGTGAACAATTTATTACCAGGTTTTTGATTGTACCAAGTGTACTAGTAAGTAGAATAGACAGTTTGGTAGTTGAACAATGGCTTGAAGACGAAATAAATCTATATTTTTAAGGTGTTTTGTGCAGCTTCGGAAGCCAGTACATAGTTGGAACTTTCATTGTATTTGGTTCTGCTTGTAAAGAGGTAGCTAAAAGTTTATGTTTGTTACAGATGTCATTTTCCGAAAATGGAGTCAGTTTGAATGTTGGTGAATTCGTGATTTTCTTTTGCAGAACCTCAATGTAAAATTCACGTCAAACAATAATGATATTATTAGCAGCCTTATCAGCCGGGACAAAAACAAATTCCTTGGCGAGTTCTTTTAGCTTATGTTTGATACGAGAAATAGGGCTATTATGGATGTTGTTAGGAGTAAAACTATGGATGTTGTTAGGAGTAAAACTATGTATGTTGTTAGGAGTAAAACTATGGATGTTGTTAGGAGTAAAATGTTCTTGTAACCGTTTTGCAGTCCATACATACATTATATTATAACATCTTTATTATATTCAAAAGTAAATGTCGCTATATACATTTAGTAAATTATAAATTGATGTCTAAAAATACAAACAGTTAGATACAAGTCCACATTACACAATTGCACAGGAATTATATAAGGAATATCAGAACGTGTAACAAACATCCTGCTTACAAATTTGTCTCCACAGTATAGTAGTGATTTACTAGAAATTTTTAAAATATCTTCAAAAATCGATTTTTATTTGATCAATATAAGATTTTCACAATAAATGTTATTTACAAGGTTATTTGATATAATTCGTCTGTTAATTAAAACAATAAATATAGTTATTCGAATTGTGACTATTTATCTTGTGACTTTTTTCTGTGACGTTTTTTCTTTGACTTTATGTCCTTCATTCCTGGCCTCAATGGATTGGATTTTTATCGTTTTTTAATTAGCAATATTTTTATTGATATGTGACCTAGTTTAGAGATATATTGCACATAATTAAATGTCAGCACTTTACCTTTACCAATTATGAATAATAAAGCTGTGTATGAATATTAAAGTTTTCAAATAGATCACTTCCAGGGGAACCTTTTAATGGTAAGTCAATAATATTTGGTATGCAGTTGTTTAAGCATTGGCACATCTCATTTCCATGGAGATCAGTTGCCCCCTTCCGCTCAGTCATGGTAAATTACCTTCCAAACTCTTGCATAGTTATATATAATATGTCAAAGATTGCGAAAATGTCAATTTAAGATTAACCTCTAATGGGAGGTTTAAGATAGTTGGTAGGCAGATGTTTTAGCATTGTTTTATTTCATTTCCATGGCGATTATATGGCCCTTCCTACTCAGTGATGGTTCATTCAACATAGTTTACGGGTTAACGTTTTTGATTAGGTCAGTTTAAAAGAACGTTTTTTTTGGGGGTAAGTAAATGATATTTGGTACGCAGTTACATTAGCATTGGCTTATATTATTTCCATGAAAATTATTTGACCCCGCCCACTCACTCATAGTCCATTGACTTTAAAAGTTTTGCATTATACTATCAAAACTACAAACAGGCGACACATATCTCTATGTAAACAGTTTATTGTGAGTATATATGCTGATGTTTTATATAGTCGGTTGTAACTCCATACAGCTCATGTTGCTTATTGTATTGTATATTTGTACCGATTAAATAAGATTTACTTACTTACTTAATATATTGTTTTCTTTTCCCTTATTTTTTCAATATACGAGTAGAAAATACTTACAGATATACAAAGGAAAAATACAAACCTTAACACAAAAACAGACAGTAAATGCCATATCTAAAAAATAAAATAAAAATATAAAAATGGTTTACAAAACGTTACACTTCTAAAAGTTACATACAATACAATACAATAAATTGTTTATTTAAAAACACTCTGTCATATACATGTAAAACCAGAGGAAAACATATAGAAAATACAGTCACATTTATACCAGGGGAACATAGAAAGAAATAAAAAAACTCTTTGGAATAAATTAATAATCACTATTTACCAAAGGCATTCGAACACATTATTTTTTATGACATACCCCTTCTTTCCGAATATTGTGCCGGCTCTACCACATTACAGCATCTTAATTTTAAAATAAATTCACTTTCGATGGGTGATAATTGTATAAAGATAGAGGAACACTTAACACACTGGCACGTTGGTGTGACCTCATCTGCTCTAGAACTGTAAAATGTTTTTTTCCCCCACAAATTGAACCCATCATGCTATGTAGGTTTAAATACTGTTTTATAAGTCACAAATATTCATGAAATGATCAACTTTCTATAAAAATCACAATACATGTAATATAACTACTTGGTTATAATGTATGTCATATATAAGAAAATAGTTGCAAAGAAACAAATCGAAGGACGCCAACAACTACGACTCAATCACATGCTTTATTATACGACTTATTTCATACAAAAACATAGAGAATATTCAAATAATTAAATGAACATTTACCTATTCTGTTAAAAACCGGAAAAGGAAAGGAAATGCCTATTACAAGACAAAAATAAAATTCTTTTTTAGATTTTAAGGTGTCATTTAAACGTTTCTTTCATTGATTTAGATTACACACAAGAAATGTACCGCAACAGGTACATATGGAACTGCTTCATGGTTGATTTCATCTACTGATCAAAGAGCAGTCATCATGTGGAGTTGCCCTTATAATTTTAATCATCATAAGAATCGTCTGGCCGTAGGACTGACTGAGAAAGGTACTACAAAACACAAAAATTGGTTCGATCAAATGTACAAGAAGGAAAGCGGTTCCAATTTGCATTTTGTTAGGGAAGAATATGACAATCATACAAAAACCATTTCCAACAAAGGTAACAACTTCGAAATCACTGGTACCATGGGAACAACTCACGTGACTGAGGCACACATCATAGTACGCCCACTAACGAAAAATGGACTTGCAGACAATTTAAAGAAATGTGTAGAAAAATCAAGCTCAGATGTTGCTGATTGACTTTAAAGCTTTTTTTCTGCGCTGGTGTTTTGTTGTTGCATGATTAGAGCGAATTTTACAGCTATGCCTTTTTTTATACAATTTCATACTTTATATGATGAACTATTATTAGAAGTGCTGACATTCACAGACATCAATTCTATTTTACGCATATTGAAATATCTCAACGGACTTTTAGAAATAAATATTTCTGTTCTATATTTTTTATTTTTCAAACTAACCAGAATCTCAGTTGTTAGAATTATGAATTATATGTGTTGATATATTACACTTGGTGACTTTATTTTTTGTTTTTAATTCTGGATATTTTTATTTTAAACCGACAAAAAAATCCTTCAATTCCGTAATGTGAAATGATGTTAATGACATATATGTACTAACTATATATTCATAAGGCAATGAAATGAAATCGATGAAGCAAATAGAAATGTAGATTCCATCTTCTAATTAAGTATTTCCTACGTAACAAACCCAATAATCCAAAGCTCCGAAACACTAGTATGCCGGAGAACGTACGGAAAATATTATATTAACAATACTTCGACAATCTCTTTCTATTTAGATTCAATATAATCAATTATCAAGTCCGATCGAAGACAACTTTCAATTTTTCTTTGAATGCCCATTTTATACACAAGTCATTATTCATCTTTATGATAAATAACTTTTAGTTCCGTCTCTAGATCTGGTTAGTTTACTAAATAGAAACGCAAATTTAGCTCTTCACCAAAAAAGTTCTTAGTTGCAAAATTGAACGTATTAGCCTATAGATATCTTTCTGGACATTGAACGTTTTGACATTTAGATATCTTTCTGGGCATATATATTTGGATAAGCATGGTGAAGTAGGATTGCCATTTGTGAGGGTAATAAAGACTCAGTTCGGTGATCAAAGTTTGTATAAAGAAACATAGGAGAAAAGTATTTTGATCGAATTGACTTCTTGTTCGTTGAGAGTAATTTGTAAAAATTTCTTCAAATTTTGTAGAATTTTGATAATTTCTCGTATTATATTTTATTTTGCAAATAGTATCTAGCAAAATAGTTCAGCATTACAATGGTAAATTCAAGAGTCAAATGTGTGTAATCTCTGAATAAAATTGATGGCGACTAGAGACTCCTTCAAATATGCAAAACCGTCTTTAGAAAATTTATGATAAAAAAATGAAAAAACGCGGAAACTATCGACGAAGCTTGCATCAAAGCATGGCAAGAGAACTAAAGCAAATTAATGTGATGCATGTTAAGTTTTACCTAAATGCATGTTTTGCGAAAATTACAAATTCACTGTCCGTTGATGAGTAACATGCATTTAAATCAGTCAGCTGACCATTTGTAACCACCAAACGTTCGCAAATTTGATATGTCAATTTCTTTTTCTTCGTTCCTTTGAGTGATCAGTCAATATTTAAGTAAAACATAAATGAACAGTAGTCATGTGGATACTCTGTAAGTCTTAATTTTAAGTAGATATTATTTCTATCGTTTGTCGCCTATACGTATATGTTTTAATCGTTTTGAAATTCATTAGAATCATTTTAGCCCCTTACCCTGTCTTCTTTTTATCGTTTTAACCTTTCCATTTTCAATGTTTCAATGAAAATAAAGAACAATTTCGTATTAACACAAGAAGAAGAAACTTTTGTGTAATATATATGCGCACAAATTCTTTGTAATGTTAGTTTATAGACAATACAGGTAGTTTATTAAATAAATTCACATATGGTCACATAACTAATATTAAGATACTTGCCATGAAGTTTACAAATGTTCAACTTAAATGTTTTATTCAATTAATTATGTGTTTTGCACCTGTTTTAAGTGATAAGTATGTCATGTTTATAATTAAAGGCAATTAGCTGATTAAGGTACCCAACAAAAAAAAATGCGAGACTAAAACGTGTCTTGTTGCATTTTCTTTAGAAAACACTACATTTAAAGAAGATCTTCTTGTTTCTAACGTATATCTGCAATTTCAAGCTCGCGTTGATATTTATGAGATGTAAGTACTCACTGCAAAAAGTTTATTGATTGAAAGGAAACCATTAATACTCTGAAAGTGTAACTGAAGGTTGTTGCTTTATATTTTTTCTTCTTGTTTACAGAGAGATTGGTATGAAGGCTATGCCATACGAGTCCGTTAACTCCATGAAAACAGAAAATGCTAAATATAAGTCAATGAGATAGCAACTCTACGACAAAAAAATCTGACATCTTGAAGTCAGGATAAGGGTTTCCAACAACAGAGTATTTAATCCACAAGTAGTCTTCAGAAGTTGTGCTAAATATTTAACATAGACTCTCAATAATCTGCGATATCGATATTAAATTATCTACATAATAAAACAAGTTGCTTTCTTTAAAATAAGAAAAGCAATACGTGAACCTAAGACCGCTGACTGCCGGGTCACCAAAAGATTGTTGATGAATTTTTGTTTGCTTCTGAATTGAAATAATTGACTGTGAATAGAAGATGATATAATGATGATCTTAAAACACCTTTATTAAAGATATGCAATTGTGTGTACATTCACAAGTCAGTTGAAAGTGTATATCCTCGTCTCATGGGTATTCTACAGGGAAACTTGGTTTTGAAGAATATCTTATTTTCAGAAGTTTTATGAATACCTGAATATACTCTCAAAAGAACCAATTTATATAAAAAGATATGTAGATATAAAAAAGATACCAGGATTAAAATGATGTACGCCAGACGCGAGTTAAGTCTACAAAAAATCAACAGTGACGCTCGCTCGAATGAAAAAAGTTAAAAAGGCCAAATAAAATACAATGTTAAGTAATCTATTCCTTGGGTAGAAAAGCCTAAATATTTCGAAAATGTCAAAGTTTATAATAGGACAGTGACTCAAAAAAGAAAACAATGGAGAAACAGCTAGAGGTCAGAATACCGTATACGTAAGTATTGATGACCGTGCTTTAAAGTCACATGTCAAGCACTTGCTGCCGTGTTCTGAATTTAGAGAAGAAAACCGAAAATGCGCATTCACGAGAGAAACTAATATTATTGCATGCACGCGGTATTTTAACGCACGAAATAGTAAATAGAAAGCATACGCACTGACACTCAGGATAAGAATACGCATTTGAGTCATCACATATATTAATCTAATAGTTGAATTCGGATGTCAAACTACCTAACTCAAGTGTTTTGTCTCCGGATTCATTGACATTTTAAATCCGAAATTTTTGTGAAAACAAACCGATAGTGTGCGTGTGATCAGGGTGGTGTATAATGTGAATGAATCAATTAAGACGTGTAGGATAGCTGGTCAACACAATAAATACAATTTTCAAAACCGTATCATAGTACAAATATTTAGATGCTATAAGGTTGAAATATTAAAACAAAGAAACACAAATAGAATTAAAATTTTATAATAAACATACGTTCCTGTTAGTAAACTAGTTATCAGTAACTGCGAGTACTCTCAGATCAGTACTAAGTGTCTTTTTGTTGTTGGGATATACAAGTACCCGGCCAAGTCCACTCTGTGTTTTTGTTAGATGTATTTCTATTTGTATCCATCTGATGAGTTAAGCCTTTTTCAACTGATTTTTATAGTTTGTACTTATGTTGTACTGTTACACCACTGTCCCAGGTTAGGGGGAGGGTTGGGATCCCTCTAACATGTTTAACCCCGCCACATTCTGTATGTATGTGTCTGTCCCAAGTCAGAGCCTGTAATTCAGTGGTTGTCGTTTGTTGATGTGTAACATATTTGTTTTTCGTTCATTTTTTGTACATAAATTAGGCCGTTAGTTTTCTCGTTTGAATTGTTTTACATTTGTCATTTCGGGGCCTTTTATAGCTGAGTATGCGGTATGGGCTTTGCTCATTGTTGAAAGCCGTACGGTGATCTATAGTTGTTAATTTCTGTGTCATTTGTTCTCTTGTGGAGAGTTGTCTCATTGGCAATCAAACCACATCTTCTTTTTTTTTATTTTTACCGAAAATTTAGAATATAATATCTATAAACACAAACGTCAAGTATTTACGGATGGACATAGTATTAGTCAAATGAATCTCTTTTTAAAGTCTGACATTCCACTATATACAAAATATAAGCAAAGACTTATAAATCCATACTAAAACAGTATAAAACAATTAACATTATGATAGTAATTAAATTTTGTTATGATTACTGTAAATTATTATTACGTTTTTTTGTGAGATGCAAGGATTTAAAATCCTTGTGAATTGAGAATTTTCATTTACGACCGTTTAAAATTTAAATATTTAGCTAACTTTTGGTACGCATCCCTGATCATTGGTGCTCATAAGTTACATATAATTTTCATAAATGTAATGACTGTTAAAAAGCACGTATATATTACAATTAATCATATTTTATTAAGAATAAATTCAGTCTCAGTTTAATCTTAAAAATGAATATTCTCTTAGTCTGGTAGTATCTATTAATGAAATTAGATATTTTTTTTACGAAATATTCATTTTGATTATCTTTCTGCTTTCCGACCACTGTGTTTCTGACCGTAGAGAAATATTTTTAAAAGAAATATTGTTTCCTTAATTTTCTTCATGCTTTCCGACATTTTCTCATGCTATGATTGAAATACAAAATATCAAATGATAAACGTTCAGAAATAATCAGTTTATTCTTGGTCATTATTTATCAATAGACTATTCCCAGGTTTAATATCCCAATGCACAGCAGCACGCTGTATTAAATACTACACAAACAACGAGTAGAGGGACCGTCTCAAAGCATGAATTATATAATTGCGTTATCATTATACTTGATATTTAATAAACATTCACTTTATTAAAAACACATATGTTTTGTCAGAAGGCAAATAGTTTCTAACATATAAATGATTTTTTGAATGAAACCTAGTCTTTATTGTTTTACTTTCCAATCTACAATTGAACTTTGATTGTTGAAACATACAATGCCACGTGGTAGTCTATCCATAGAGGGGCCGTATCAAAGACATAAATAACTACCTGTATAAATGATTGAAAAAATTCGAGACGTTCCGAAAATCTTGATTCAGAGGGATATCGAGTGGCCCATAGACACTTCCAAAACTCGCCAATATATAAGCGTGAAACCCTCAGGGGGTTCACGCAAAAAAAAATAAATACAACAAAATACAACAACTTACGGAATTCCTGTCAGTGGA